AGTAATAGTTGTTCTGGCGTTGATAGTAGTAGTGGGAAGTTGAATTTATAACATGATGTTAGGAGGCTAGTCATCTGCATACAGTGGAAAATAGTTATTTAGAAGCTATTAAAAATATTTAATTAGAATTTTAATAATAATAATAATAAATATTTAATTAAAATTTTGATAATATTAATAATATATAATAATAAAAACAAATCTATTTGCTAGGAAACCGATCTACAAAGTGTTACAATTTACTGCTTCTTGTCTGATTTTAGCCGATCATTCTGAATCTGTACAAAGCCTTAGTTGGACCCCATCTTGAATTCTGTGCACAAGTTTGGAATCATCTTGAATTTTGTGCACAAGTTTGGAGTCCAGATCCGCAAAATGACAAGGACATTTTGGAGAAAGTACAGCGGAGAGCAACAAAAATTATCAGAGGACTTAAAAATCAAGAATAGGTCTGAGGGATGAGACGGTCTCCGCAGAACCAGTCAACAGTTTTAAGATCAAGCTCGAAAAGTTAGGATATTAGAAGGACACTTATCTCGCAGTGTTTCTCACGCAGACTCTCTAAGTCTCTAATCTACTGAACCACATTAAACCCTGTTGTGTGTGTTGTGTTATGTTTTTTCACATAGAAGCGGTTTTAATTGAAAGATATGGAATGATATATTTTCCAACTTTTTCAACAAATTTCAAACGATGACAAATAAATTGTAAAATTTGTTTTTATTTAATTTTTTGTTATGCAACAGAAGTGTTCCAAGTACTGAACTCAGTAAAATTTTTCATAATACAGATTATATACTCGATGCTTTATAAAAACATTTTATTCCTTTTCAAACAATAATCAAACGCCAAATAAACAACAAAATGTTGTTTTAATTATCAATTTAGAGATTATTTTTGCCAGACTTTACAAGCGAGTTAATATAAAAAGTTTTGAAATAGGCGCAGTTTTCGATCACTGTTCGTGTAATAAACGTTGTATTGATGTGTGTATACGAGCGCTGCACTGTACTTAGAGTGTAAGGTGTTTGAGTTTTGAAGAGGCAGCGTTCGAACTCGGTCACCCTCGCTATCAGTTAAATTAATTCTTGTTCGACCTCTAAAGACCTCAAATTAGCGGTTGTAAAAACATTATTTTGCAGAAGAGTTCCAACCAGAGTCGGATGAAAAATATCCCACTCTGATTTCTGCTCGCCCTTCAAAATATTCCACTCCGACTCAGATTCCAGGTTCCTAATCCCAAGAAAAATTTTTAATTTTTACAGACCTTCATAACGTTATTGAGTATTTGATGAAGAAAGAGAGGCAGTGGATTACGTAGAGTAAATAATATTCACAATTACATATTTACGTCATAGGTAGGAACCAAAAGATTCCCAATTCGTAGCGAACTGTCCAGAATTTAATTGCAATGTTTTAGAGGGGCGTTCTAAGACCTTCGAAATAGAAATGGACTCATTTAACAATTTCATTGCTTTTGCTGACCGATGAAAATCGCTGCGAGTGGTGATTGAAATGTTTGAAGAAAGAATTGTGTAACGAAATTTGAAGAAACGTTCCAAAAGTATTAACGAATCATAAAACTAACTGAATTCCTAAAATAAGGTGATATTAGCACATTAATTGCAGAAAGCTTCTACATTCTCTATTATAAGGTTGTATTGCATTGTTTTATGATGTAAGGTATGTACTTACGTGTGGCTAGATGAGTCAAACTCATGATAATTTCATTGTGTTTGCCGTGAAATAGTAAAGCCATTATTTCTTCTTCCTTGTTAGAAATGTAACGTTGTCTTCATTAGATTCGACTGTTTCAATAATGTTTTCACTTCTTAAAAACTTCAGTTTAACGAGAATAACATGGATATTAAATGGGTATTTTGGATTATTGAAATTCTAAACTCTTACTCAAATATCGAGGGTACTTAATTTTGTTTAACAAACTTGAAACAACTGAGAATGTTGATTGCTCGCAGAAATATTTTTATGATCCACATGAAATCACATGCGTACATCAACTCAGATAAATGCTTTGTAGAGTTACATCGATAAATTAACAATGTGTAATGAACAATGATTATTCAATTAAATCTAGAAATATTGATAAGCATTGTTTAACTTTTCAAAGGCTCGAACGTACAATTAGAAAATATGGCGATCTATAAGCCGTCTTATATGAACTACAGAGATCCCACATACGATCCGAGCGAGTGCGTTGATGGCAGCCAAAGCAGTTTTTGCTTCGTAAGAATGGAGGAACCCACTGCATAAGATCAAGGCTGGTTACAGAAATTTGGACGGCGATAAAACCATTTGCATAGGTTACAAATATAATTTCTTCTTTTCTTCGTTTTTGAGAACTAAGAAACCTGAGATTGATAAGAAATTACTACATGCAGTGCAGATGTCGACGAATGTGCAACAAACGCGCACAAGTGTACCCCGCCATTCGGAACCTGCCTCAACAGAGTTGGCTCCCCCGTTTGCAGATGTTCACCTGGCTTCGAACGGATTGGTAATGTTCGTTCAGTTCGCGATTTTATTCACATTTCAACAAATCAATACATCTTTCTGCAAATTTGTGAACTACAAATCACGATAACAGATGCGAACGAGTGTTTGAACGACGCGAACATTTGTAACAATGTTTCCTCCGTTTGGCTCGTACACCTGCATGTACCTCACTGGCAATAGCAGCAATGTTACGCCTCCTGCACTTGAGGGCTGACCTGTTTCAAACGCAGTCTGTGGAAAAGTTTAGTACAATCACCAATTTTGTATACTCCAACACAATGCTATGTGTGTACTGTACAATGTACGTACATATACAATGTACATATAAATCTGTGTGTCTCGTCATGTGTGAGTGTGAATGTTTCAGGTTTTTTAGAGCAAATGTTTTACTTGTAAATAATTCATTCTGGAATTGTTTCCATGTAGGTAATAACAAAAGTAGGTGTCGTTGTTGTTTGTAGTATAAAAAAATATTTTTGATGATGTTTTGTAGGGGATGGCAGTTTGTCGCATTTCTGCTCTTAACAGTGATCATTTCCATAAATCGTTATTAGCTCTTCTCGGCACTCTTCCTTCTTCAAATTCTTTTCTTGGTCATTGAAACTATCACCATCATCATCATCATTGTCATCATCATCATTATCATCGTCATCGTCGTTATCATCGTCATCATCATTGTCATCATCATTATATTTCACTTTAAAACCATTATCACCAGCCAATGTTTTATTCTCACCATATTGTT